GTCGGAGGTGGAAATCCATTCCGGACGCGCGGGTGCCCCGTGGCCGCGCCGGCGTGGGAGGTGGGGCGGCCAGGGGCCCGGCCGCGCAGACTAGCTCCCCACCGACGGCATCGGACAGGCTCCGACGGGCCGCGACCCCCGAGGTGCTGGAAGCTACAGAAAGGGAACATCCGCTCTCCACCGGGGGCTCTGGGCAGGCGTGGGAGGACAGAGATGGCCCCTGAGAAGGGCGCTAAGGGATGCCCAGGTGGCGGGTCCTGCGAGGTGGTGGGGAGGGCCCAAGACGGAGTGACCGGCCTAAGTCACATCGCGCGGCGCGTGCACGTAGAACTGTGCTTGGGAGACAGCGGCACACTGGCTGCACGGGACCAGGGTGGGCCACGGCCGTGGGCCTCAGCCTTGTCACCGGGAGCTTCTTTCAGTAAGGGAATCAGAGATTTGAGAGGGCTTTTTAGCCACAATCTACCCCCATGGTTACAGAAGGAAAAAAATGTACCTCCATTTTTGTTCACCATAGGTATCAATCAGCTATATTACCATCTTGAATTGATATAAATTCGGGGGCGGAGAGAAGCAAAGAAACTTGGCGTTTTAGCTTAGCTTAACCTCTAAACGCGGCGAGCAGGTCAATGTGCATTTCAAAGAACCTTGATGGGGAGGAGACAGGGAGGGAGGCAGGGGCACTGGGGTAAAGGTGCAGAGGGAGCACTTGGAGTAACCCGGGAGCTGAGCGCGCTCCCGGCGGGCAGCCTGGCGTTTCGTGCGCTCTGGAGAGCAGTGAACGCTTCTTGGGCAGGTGGAGACAACAAAACCAGAACAGAATTTCAGGGTGAGGCGTGTGGAAGGTGAGAAGATGGTTTGAGTTGAGCAAAAACAGTGAGCGAGTCCTGACTGGGTAGGAGGTAGGTGCAAGGATGTAGCCCTGAGATGAGGGAAGCCCAGACCAGGACGGCAACAAGGAGCATCAGAACCGAACAAATGAATTCTAGAGAGTGCAGAAAAATCTTAAAACACTGGGATCAATCTGACCGGATGAGCACACGAGGGAGGTTTCAGAGCCCATAAGAGGGGCTCCAGCTTCGTGAGGAGAACTGGGGAGGGGGGTGTGTCTTTTCATGGGCACAGGGAAACCCTGGGAAGGAGCCAGTCTGGGGAAGGGACTGAGGTGGGCGCACAGGCTGTGAGGCGTGGCGAGAGGTGAGGGCTAAGGACAAAGAGGTAGTGGCCACCAGGATGGAAGTGGTGAGAGCCAAGAGCTCTCAACAAATGCTGTGTAACAGCGAGAACGGAGAGCAGGACAGGGAGTGAGGGGTGCCAGTGTCTAGGATGAGGAAGCAAGGGGGTGGGGGTGGGGCAAAGGGACCGCGGATCTACCAAAAAGGCAAAAGAAAGAGTGGGGTGTCCTAAGAGTCAAGGAAGAGAGACTTAGGAGGAGATTCTGGATTCTGACTCATAGCAATCCTTTAAGACAGGGTAGAACTGCCCCTGTGGGTTTCCCAGGCTGTAACTCTTTACAGGAGTAGAAAGTTGTGCCTTTCTCTCACTGAGAGACTGGTGGTTTTGAACTACTGACCTTGTGTTTAGCAGCCCAACGTGTAACCCACTATGCCACCAGGGCTCTGTGCAGGGGGTGGGGCACTGGATTTGGCAATGAGCAAGTCACTCATGACCTTTGAGAGCGTCTTCAGAAAAGGGGTCCAAGTGGGTTGAAGAAGGCAAGACGAAGCTACTGTTGGAAAGTGAGGAGATATTGTGAAGTGTGGGTGACTCCTGATAACTTTTCAGAAAGGAGAGAAATGCAACTGCTCAGGACAATGTGCGGAGAGAGACACCTGCCCCTAGTTTTTCTTTTCAAAGTTCCAATCCCCATCCCACCCCCCTTCCCAAATCCAGGAGAATGAGGGGACTGATCAAATGCGATGGGCCAAGGCTGGTTGGTGTAAGAGTTAAGGTATTAGAAATAAGGGACAGGGGGGACACTACCCTGACATTCTGAACTAGATAAGGATCTGGAGGCTTGGGGGGCACTCGAGAATCAACATGAGGACACCACAGATGAGAAATCCAGAGGAAAGTAAAGACTCCTGCATCCATTTGCAGGAATCTACAGTGAACTTTTATTTTAAAAAAAAATGTTCCTCAAGCGTTTGGTCTTACCTCTCCTCCATGGGTCAATTCTTCAGCCCACCTGGATGTTCATTTCAGTAGAACATGTGATCTTGTTCTCAAAGTGTACCTCGCCATTTATTCTGTACCACGGCGGTACCGCCACTCAGCCAGAAATATGGTGGCCAGCCTAGACTCTTCATTCTTCCTCTTCTCAATTATCCAATCACTACGTCTCCTTCCTAAATGACCCTTCCTCCTTGTCCACCTACCAGGACATCATCCCTCTCCCACCAGGATCACTGCAGCAACCTCCCAACTGCTCTTCCAACCTCCGGTTTTTCTGCATTCTAATAATCCCTCTAATCAGGAATTGCTTCCATTCAAAATAAGTAAGCACCAATAATGCCCCATCTCTCAGTAACACCAATATGATCATGTGACTTCCCAGTTTAAAAATCTTGCAATGGCTGCCTGTGGTCCGAAAACCAAAAATTACAAGCCAAACTCACCTCCCTCAAGTCAATGCTGATTCATAGCAACCCTATAGGACAGGGTAGAATTGCCCCTGTGCGTTCCTGAGCCCTGTCTTTTTCCATGGAGCGGATGCTGGCTTCAAACTGCTGACCTTGCAGTTAGCAGCTCAACGAGGAACCACTAGGGTTTGGACCAGAAGGCAGGTCATGACCTGGACCTGATGCCATTCCAGCTTCAGCTCCTTACACTAGCCCTGCACATGCAATGCCAGAGTCCCTTTCCTTCCATGGTCAAGGTTCCGTCTTCTCCTGTGTCATGTTCCCTGAGCCTCCATCCTCCCACAGCTCCAAGTATCACCTGAGTGGTGCCCAGACTCGGCTTTGGCCTTCACCTCTGTCCCACCACCTCCTGAGTTGCAGTAGTGTGCAGGGGCTTTCCACTTCACTGGAACTCATTTACCTTCTTCCCCAAGCCTAGCAACTTCCTTCTTGTGGCTCTGGAGTAACACATGCTTAAGTTGTCCTTACGCTTCAATCTGCACAGTAGCCCCTTTTCATCTGTGCCCTCTGGGCTCACTCTTCTGAAGATGCTCTCACATGTCATTAGTGACTTGCTCATTTCCAAATCCAGTGCCCCCACTGCCTGCACAGAATCCTGCTGGTGTAGTAATGGGTTACACATTGGGCTGATCACCACAAGGTCGCCAGTTCAAAACCACCAGCCACTCCGTGGGAGAAAGCATTACAACCTGGGAAACCCACAGGGGCAGTTCAACTCTGTCGTCATGACTCAGACTTGAGTCAATGGCAGTGAGTGCTTTGAAGAATCTCCTAACAGTCTCCCTTCCTTGACTCTTAGGGTACCCCTCTGCTCTCTCTTCGGCATGTCATTTAGGCCACAGAATTCTATCAACGTTCCCTTTGCTATTTCTCTGTTGTTGGCTCTCATTGGATCAGGCCTCCAAGTCACAGGAACCCCAGGGATAACAAAATAAAACACTGTCAGGCCCTACCAATGCCGTCTGGGTGATCAGTTACAAATCCTATCACTGTGCTCCACAGAGTTGTCACTGGGGGATTTGCAGAAGTAGATCGCCTGACTCTTTATTTCTGAGCCTCAAATCTCTGCTGAGATGCGTTCATCCTCATAGCAGCGCACAAGCCTCCAGTGACAAACAGATGGTAGCTGTGCCTGAGGGTCATGGCACAGGACTTGAACCCAGGCCTCCGGAATGGAAGCCGAGCCTTCTGCCCCTGAACCACTCCTACCTCCATATCGTGTCTCTCCAATGTGCATGTCATGCTCCACCCTGCAACTGGCGCCCACCCCTCTCCTTCTCTACGGTTTCCAAGAAGCTGCAACCTGTTTATATTACGTTCATCTCTATCGATGCGCTTGCTAACTGGCCACGGTTCAAACTTCCTAGCCTAATATATAGGCTGTTCCTCTGGGGGGGAGAGAAAAGAATCCAAGGGCTGCAGCAGCCAGAGATGCCTTGAAGTGGAGAACATCTTTAGAGACATTTCTGTGAAGTGGGCCTCATCTTCTCCGTAGAGCAAAAGCGTCCATCTACCCAAGGCCAGGCTAGGGAGGGACTGGCACTAGAGAGCGTTTCAAAGTTCTAGAACTGCCGGGGATTGTGGGCAAGTGCACAGGCTGCTTCAATGGCACTGTAATGTTCTGTTCTTAAAAGTGATTTAAATTGACGGGTCTGGGTTGTCAAATCATGCTTTGCAACATGCACACATATACACTTGTCATGTAGTTTCCTTTGTACATATCAAATGCCACTTTTAAACGTTTATATATATATTTTTAACAAGCAGAAAGACCTAGAAGAGGCACTGAAACTCACAGCCCTCAAGTCAAATCCAACCCATGGTG